AAACTGAGCTAATTTGCATAATATATGGCCTGTCTTGTAACTAACTCCACAGTATATATTCAGTGAATAATCTGGCCCCTGGGACCAAGTTATTTATTCAATGGGTACAGCAATTTTTCCTGTTGCACAGCATAGAGAAGGTGAAGCCAGACTCCTACTATTTTAGCCCAAATGCCAAACCTACCACTGCACTTTACAAGCAAAAAATTAATAATGTAAAAAGACATTAAAGTAATTTTTATAGATTTATGACCTTTTACATTTACAACCTACAGTATTTCTACATTTCTTATATATAGCCCTGATGGAGTGTCTGGCCCCTGAACCGCATTGACTTTCTGCTATGAATCAATGTTGTCATCAAAAACTCTGTTCTTGGCTGTTTGTTTAGCACACTTATTGGTTTGTATGTTCGCCCTTCATGTGGCAGGCATGCATCACTGCTCCCTACAACAGTCAATGGTTGGGGAGTGGTTTAAGACAAACTTTCTAAAAAAAAAAAAAAAAAAAAAAAGGCAAAATTTGATAACAGCAACATTGCTGTTCATCTAACATGTTTTTGGGAGAAGTAATGTATTTGAAACATCTGGTGAATGGTGGCCCATGTTTACATTAAAGGACCAATTTTCAACTAATGCCTGCCCTCTTAAAATACACATTTTTTACTTATCATTAACAAAATGTCTGGTGATCCTGTCATTAAACACCTCAATCAGGCACTTCCTGTGATCAGGTGACAACACACTCCCAGTTGTGCTCCTGTGTGGTCACATGGGTTTCCAACGGAAGCTGGCAATTTCAACGAACATAACAGACATGCTCTACTATTGTCACCATGATAAAACCTGGCCTGAGGAATGCCATGCAGCCATCACTGGAGTGATGTAGACAGAAAAAGCCAGCAAAGGGACACCTGGAGTTCAGTAGCATGGAGATGGAACAAAGGATGAAAAAAGGTGAAAACAAGTATTCTATTTAAGGAAATTTATGATGCACAGTGCTTTAGCAAACTAAATCTACTTTAACTCTCCACCGCTGGGAACCTGAATAATTTTACCAGTTGGCGAGAACACCATTCAATTTATTTTAAAAAAAGATTGACATACGTCTATGCTATTTCAGTGTCTTATGCCTCCTTGTAATACAATGGATCCCCTCCTGCAGGCTGAGGTCTTCCTAGCTGGCATCTTCTTTTTTTTCATGGTGACAGCAAGACGTTCGGAGTCGAGGAATCAGCCCAGATGTGCACTGTCACTTCTGAACGCACACAGAAACTGCGACGTGTTTGGAATAAGACTTGTTAGGCAAGGGAGCTGCGATGCATGATAATGTGCACAGTGAAGCCTTACCTTCAAATCCAAAAGAGAATCAGCCCAAAGGACCGAGTGATGAAAATATGACAGGCACAAAGGTTATCGGAGGTGAATGGATCGAGAGTCCAAAACAAAGCAGGAAAATGTTTCCCACTTCAGTCATTCATGGCCCTGAGGAAAACCATTATTAATTATACCTACTGTGCCGTGTAATTTTATTATTAAAAGAGGGGACACACATATTCCTTTATGTAAAAAAAAAAAAAAAAAAAAAAAAAATCAGTGGAAATTGACAGACATTATTTCTGCGGGTAGCACTGCATTTAAACATCATGGGGTCCTGGAGGTACATGAACAATGACTCCCTTTGTTGAGGCTGAGCTCCTATCACATGCACCCTGCTTCATGGATAAAGGAATAATCAGTCAACCAAACAAAAACAAAAGGAAGATGGTTTCATATTTCCTGAGCTACAGAGGACCTTGTGACTCCTCAGTCACAATACTTTCTCCAATACTGTTTTTTTCTTTTTAAATGGATTTAAAAATGTCCAGAGGATTCATGAACAAAAGTGATTACAGTTACCCAACTGTCCTGGGATCCCAGAGAAGTACCGTATTTTTAGCTCCATACGACGCACCTGACCATAAGACGCACCTAGGTTTTAGAGGCAGAAAACAGGAAAAAAAAATTCTGAACTAATGGACTGCGGACACACAGTACAGGAGATGACCAGAGACTGCGGACAGTACAGGAGATGACCAGAGACTGCGGACAGTACAGGACTGCATGACCAGAGACTGCGGACGGACAGTACAGGGATCACCAGAGACTGCGGACAGTACAGGAGATGACTGCTGACCTTTGGGGAGGGGGGGAGCGGGTACCTGAATTTGACAGGTACCCGCTCTTACTTCCGCGGAGTTGTTCTTTGATCTTACCTGTTCCTCTATCCAGCCGCGCGCAGTCTACCCGGCTTCTGTAGTGTGGGCGCTCGGCGGACAGCCGGATGCCCAGTGCGCATGAGCGAGAAGCGCTGCGCTTTGTGATTGGTCCGGCGGCTTCTGGGATCTGTCATGGTTCCCAGGTACCGCCTTACCATTCACAAAGAGCACCGCTTCTTGTGCATGCGCACTTGGCACCCGGCTGTCACGCACACTACAGAAGCCGGGAAGACAGCGCGCCTCTGGATAGAGGAACAGGTAAAGTCCCACTGCAGAGCTGAGTGGCCGGCCCGGTATTCTGACATGGCGGCGGTGGAAATACCAGACCAGCCGCTCCATAAGACGCACTGACATTTTCCCCCCTTTTTTAGGGGGGGGAAAAAAGTGCGTCTTATGGAGCGAAAAATACAGTAGTTTATCAAACCAAGATAGGAAAGATAGCTTCTAAAGCCTCCTGAGATATGCATGTCACATTTACCAGGATGTTACAGGTTCTATTAATACAGCTGGAGGAGGGTGGGCATGGCAGTATGTCATCAAGGAATCAGGCTGCCTGAACCAAGAAGAGGTATTCTGCTATCAATGGTGTCAGCAACAAAGAAGGCGGCGCGGGGCACAGCAGGGCAGTGCTGGAACAACTGGCTGAGTTTGTTTGAGAATTGTGCAGAACAATGCCAAAAAGGTAAGGGAGGAGGGAGGTTAGGTGAAGTTTCTCTTTAAAGCAGAACTCCAGCCAAACCGATAAAATACACACAGATGGCATATATTTATGTGCCAAAGGATTTACAGTTCTGTATTGTCATGTACAGACATCTGCCACACAGAAGAGCCACTCTTTACAAAGCCTGTATAAATTCAGCACACATACGTGATTAGTACTTTTATCAACTCTGAAGGAGGGAGAGTTCAAAACCCCTCTGAAACGAGTTGGCTATATTAGTTTTACAAAGCCACACTCATTTACATATGTACATCAAGCCAAACTCATTTATTCACTTAAAACTAAACTGTTGGATATTAAAAAAAAAAAAAAAACTTCCATAAATATACCAAAAAGAGCAACATGGATATAGTGTATGCAAAGTTAAAAGGTAACTCCACTTTCACGGGAAAAAAAAAAAACCGCGAATAAAAATAACATTCTATTACAATATTACTGTAGTCGCAATTGTATACGCCATTAAAATTTTCCTTTCCTTTTCAATCTGCAGTGCTGCAATTTTCTGTAAAATGCAATGCAATATGCCTACCTGGAGGCATTCTGCATACAGATGGTGTACAGAATGCCCCCGTGAAAATGTCACTTTCTGATTGAGCGATTTGCTCACCAATTTTCCCAGAAGTTTGCACTAAGATACAAGTCACATTTTTGGCATCCCTGCAACAAAAATGTTATTTTTTTTGTGAGATACTCTCAAAAGGGACATCACATCTAAAAGGGATGCAGACCCTGACAATTTCTTTAGAGCCCTGCAGCAGCTGAGAATTATAAAACCATTTTCATACAGATTCACTCCACCCATGGAGACAGACCGCTATCTCTTCAAAACAACAAAAAGGTAGGAATCTGAAACAAAGTTTGTTAAAATCCTTGTAATGTACAAAGATCACCCAGGGGGGAGGGTTTTTTCCACTCAACAAAAGCAGAGAGTTACACTTTAAATATAACGGACAAGGGTCCTAATCATTCCCTACTCCTAAAAAAAATAAATAAAAAAAAAAAAAAAAAAAAAAAGGAAATACTGCATCTCATAGCAGTTTTTCGCTCTTTTGCTTTTATTTTTAGGGGAAATTCCCTTATAACTCCATAGCCCAAGGGTGTCAAACTCAATTTCATGGTGGGCCACATCACCATTATGGTTGCCCTCAAAGGGCTGTTTGTATCTGTAAGAGTAGATGTCCAGAGCAACCCACCCTCCCTTACATCACATTGCACCCCCCTTACCTGCTGCTGCCAGGAAGAAGCTGGGGTGGAGCTGGGAAGCAGAATATGTAGGGTGTGGAGGAGGACCAGAAGAGGGATGGAGTCTGCTGAATGCCGAGACCAGGGGAGGTGGAGACAAAGGGGTGCTGCAGCTAAACAGAGGTGCAGAATCTGTAGAAGTTCTGTCCTCCACTCTGCTGCCAACTGCTGAGACCAGTGGTGGTTGCAGAGATGAGCCTCTCTGCATCTGCATGGAGAAACACAGGATCTGGTGGAGGAGTTCTGTCCTCTTCTCTCCAAGGTAAAAATGATGGTGGTTGTGGCAGGAGAGGTCTGAGGACCACATGAAATGGCCAGGAGGGTCAGATTTGGACACTTGTACTATAATCCATTGTCATCCAAACAGGTTTAACCATTGGAGGATTTCTCCTCTCCTCCTTTCCCTGTGACAACAATGTCAGGTTTCTAATCCCATCCTGCAACACAGACATTGGTCACCAGAACAAAAGGAGGTTTGAGTTCCCCCCAGCTGGGACAAATACAATAAATGCTCTATTCACAATTCTTGACAAATATGGGATTTACACTTTAAGAACCAGGGACCCTTCTGACGTTTTATAAACATGCCCATATGTGCAACATGTTTTTCAGTCCTGTCTGATTGTTATCGCTGTCAGAAGCTCGAAGTCCCACAGGCATAGCTGCCAGTGATGCAGCGAACATGCAAGCTATCCCAAAACAGGCAGCTAAATCAACCTGTAATTGCCCTGACTCTACTGCCACTTCTATTCCCCATAAAAAAACACTGTAATTTCATACAATTTCCTGTTCCTGGTCATCCTGATATCGGTCTTCTGCTTCTTCTCTGGATTTCAGCTCAGCGACAGGTACCTGCAATTATTATAAAGGAAAATCAAATGGTTGTCAACTGGTTCCATCGTTTTATAAATAAAGGATGAGGGTGGTGGAAAGATACAGCAGCCTTTTATGTGTGTTATCATGCTGTTCTGAAGAACAAACGTATAGCGGGAACCTGGTGTTAAAGACAATGGGGTTGATTTACTAAAACTGGAGAGAGCAAAATCTGGTGCAGCGGTGCATAGAAACCGATCAGCTTCCAGCTTTTACTGCCAAATCTTATTTGAACAAGCTGAAGTTAGAAGCCGATTGGTTACCAGGAACAGCTGTACCAGATTTTGCACTCTCCAGTTTTAGTAAACTCATCACATTGTGTTACACTGGCCCAATGGAAGTATACAAAATATATATCAAGGCTTGGAGTTCAGCTTTACTGTAATATTGCAACAGTGATCTCAGACGCAACCCTTTCCTTATCCATCCACGCACAGAAAGCCGTCACATTACTGACAGCTTATTCCTCACTTCATCAACATTTTACTTCCAATCTTCTATTGTAGAAGACTGAAGAGACAACATCATTCAGAGGCAAATGTGAGTCATTCATTACTGTACCTCTCTGCCCACTGACAGATGAGAGTGGAGTAATCATGGACTTTGACATAAAATTCATGTAATGTCTGGCTATACATACTGTAACAAGATGGCTACACAATACAGACTTGCAGGGGAAGATGTAGAAAAGTATCGGGTCTATTGAACTGCCCTTTCTCTACAGACAGCCCACATGAAAAAAAAAAAAAAATTAATCCAGTTGACGTTTATGGAAACCCGAGCAACAAACTTCCCTTATTTGCTCCCTCTGGTCTATTAAATACATCAAAGAATTTCACTATATTTGTTCAATAATTGCAAGTAATACCTGTCCTGTGTCCTCTGCACACTTCCTGTTATCTCAAGGAGTCCTCCCAGTTCTTATCTTGGACTACAAAACTATTCTCCTCTATATTGTGGAGATCAGAAGTGTGGTAGGCATTCAGTAGTTTAGAAGGAGATAACTGGGCAGGGCTGACACCATTCTTTGCTTTTTGCAGAAAAGAAAGATGCACCAAGTTGTCAGTCTATAACAGGAAACAGGTATTCTCCTCTACTTGTTCTACTACATTGCATAGCTGCCAGTCTAAAACAGAAGCCAACTGTCAGGAGTAGAGCAAGCATAGTGTTGTGTGGTGAGGCTATTTCACTGCCTAGTCAGCGGGTGGGTCAGTGACCAAGCACCCTAAACTAGGAAAAAAAAAAGAAAAAAAAAAAAAAAACAAAAAACACACAACATTAAGTCACAGACTTGCCTGGACCACAAGATTTATGAATTTAATGCATTCTGCGAGACTTTTCGGATTGCAAAAAATTCATAAACCGAAAAACGCGGTTTCGCATAGGAATACACATTGAAAACCAATTAATCCATTCTGGAGATCAGAAAAAAGTAAAAAAAAAAAAAAAAAAAAAAGTCTTATCTATTCAAAACTCTTTATAAAGTGCGCTTTAAAAAGGCATAAATACTGTACAGGGACATGATAAAAAAAAAAACCTGTAAATTTATTGAAAACCAATTAATCCATTCTGGAGGTCAGAAAAAAGTAAAAAAAAAAAAAAAAGTATTCTGTTCAAAACTCTACATAAAGTGCACTTTAAAAGCATAAATATTGTACAGGGACATGATTTAAAAAAAAAAAAAAAAAAAAAAAAAAAAAAAAATGTAAATGCACTGAAAAACCAATTAATACTTTTGTACTGCGAAAAAAAATTCGTAAACCAAGGCATTATTTTCAATGGATTTTCATTCGGAAACTGAAAATTACATTAAACCGAGCCATTTGTAAGCCGAGGTACGGCTGTATTTGATTTGCTTCACCACTACAAAAGCCACTGGCTGACAGCCAACATTTCCTGCATTTCTGAATTAACTGCATCCTTGAACTGCCCCTTCTTTCCAAGTCTCAACCTGTTCACCACAACATTGCTTTGGGTGCAAGACATAAGCTCTCCATCGCATACATAGGTGAGGCATGTGGCACTGACAAAATAAAATGGCATGGAACAAATAGCAGCCATTTAGACGTCAGCTTTCAGATTCCAGCCACCACGAGAAAAATAATAGCCGAAGCCATATTGGTTTCAAATGTGGCCTAAACCATTAACAAGCTTCAATTGACTGCAGTTATTAACCCAGCTCATGTCTAAGTACAGCATGGAAAGCTCCCAATGCATCATGGAAGGAGAGGTCTGTTCATGGTTCAAACTTAATCTGACCATAAAGTATGCTAGTAAAATTTTGTTCATTTGTTAAATTTTCTAACTGTAAACTGTCATTCATTCTAAAATTGAATGTTAAATGCTTTCAAAAGAGTCAAGCCATTGAACGTACTAATAAAATTTGTATGAATATATACTGTACAGGTGTACCTCGGTTTACAAACGCCTCAGTTAAAGTAATTTTCTGTTTACGAATGAAAATCCATTGAAAATACCTCAGTTTACAATTTTTTTTTTCGCAATACGAAGTGTATGTCAGTGCCGATTTTTAAATGTAATTGCCGGCTTTTTTTTCTTCACTATAGCTCACAGAATTAGCTGTCACTTTCCCCGGAGCTAAAGGAATCATGGTTTCTTTTAACTCGGGAAAAAAAACTAAAAGGAAACTCTCTCTCTCTTTTAGCTTGGGGGGAAAGTGATAGCTGATTCTCTGAGCTATAGTGAAGAAAACAAAAAGCCAGTAATTACATTTAAAAACCGGCACCGACCTACAGTGACAGAGACTTTTTTTTTAACTTTTTTCTGATCTCCGGAATGGATTAATTGGTTTTCAATGCAATCCTATGGGAAACCGCGTTTTGGTTGATGAATTTTTCGCATTACGAAAGGTCATGGAGAACGCATTAAAATCGTAAACCGAGGTACACACCTGTATATTCCAAAATCAATTACTGTATGGTAAGCTTTACTTAAATATATATTTTGCGGAGGACAGGTGGCCACACACAGAAGCACAAGTTCCAATTTGTACAAACCTGCCAGCTATACACCGCTAAAGGGATTTTCTTACAGAAACCTCTGTAGCTTTTTTCCTCAATATGCATTTCAGGGAAACTAAAGGCAAATGGAATTTAGCTCTTAGAGTAAGGAAGCAAAATTTACCATTGGCTTCCTATCCACCTCTGGTTCAACTGGTTGCTTTTCAACATTTCCTTTCTCCTCAAATGCTGGTCTATCTATTTCAGCCTCCTCATACTCATCTTCACCCTGATTGTTGGGGTCTTTGGCTGGATCAGCAGCATCTTCTGGAGCCTGCGTAAAGAAATAGCACCTTAAGATACACTAGAGCTTGACAATACCCAAGGCTTTTTGTTCCTCATCCTGTCTCTGAGTACATACAGTATACAATCTTCTGGTCTACAGCAAACGCGTGCTTCTGGAATACCTATTCAGAGCCTGAAATACTGCAAGCTAGTCGTTCCCAAACTCTGCCTTTTACAATCACTTTACAATCCAAATATGTGCACCTTTGGTTTAAAGAAGCATTCCAGAAATGGATATTTTCGCATAATTACATTAGTCTAGCTTGGAACAACATAATTACCCATAGACTATGCCTGGGAACCCTCTAGAAGCTGGAAGTCACTGTAGTAGACACCCCTACAACAGGGGTCTCCATTAGCTTTCAGGTCCTGTGCCGAGTGGCTGCCCTTCTGCACTGTGAACACGGGGTCAGCCACTGGGCACGAGCGCCATTCTGAGAAAGCTTTGCAGTTTTTTCAATGAATGCAAAGCATTCTTTAAGTGGAGGAGGTGGAAAGCGTCGCCACCCTGCCTCTCGTCCTTCTTGAATCAGAGACCACTTTGTATTATTTGAAAAATACAAAAGCGATCTCTGAATGGTGCCACTCGGTGTTGTATGCTACAGTGATTTCCAGCTTCTAGAGCAGTGGTGGCGAACCCATGGCATGCATGCGGCAGCGGGCCCTCTTTATCAGCGCGCTAGCCAAATCGCCCAGCAGCCCAACATCGGATAACGCGCACATAGGGGCTAATGCACATGCTCATAAAGGAGTAGTGGCACCAGGTGATGACGTCACGAGACTCGATATTAATATATACACACACACACACGTATATGGACTGATTTTAGCAGAAGCCCCTACAGGCCCACAAGGTAGGAAATGCAATCAGATGCCTTTTTCTGAGCAGGCCAAAAGCTGGTGGTCCGTGGAACATTGCCCCCCCTTGTGCCAGCGGTCCGGGGAACATTGCCCCCCCTTGTGCCAGCGGTCCGGGGAACATTGCCCCCCCCTTGTGCCAGCGGTCCGGGGAACTGTGCCCCACCCCTTGTGCCAGCGGTCCGGGGAACTGTGCCCCCCCTTGTGCCGGCAGTCCGGGGAACTTTTCCCCCTTGTGCCGGCGGTCAGTGGAGCTTTGTCCCTTTGCCCAATGATGTTAATGTAAGAGTAGTTCTTTCTAAACTAAAACCTCAGTATTCAGGTTTAATTGCAGTGTTTGCACTTTGCGATAAATACGGTTTGGGTTGCAGTTTGGGCACTCGGTCTCTAAAAGATTCGCCAGCACTGTTCTAGAGGAATCCCACAGGTATGCAATATGTGTAGCTACATTGGTCCAAGCTGAACCAACACATTGCATATGATCACCATTTTTCAGCCAACACACACGACGACTGAGTACAATTCTAATTGTTCCTGATCATTAGTGGGGACCAAAGAAGTCAGTGACATCCGGGGATGATAGTGGAGACACTGTTCAGTGTTGGCTGGTAGCTGTCAAAAGGAATAGCATTTATTAAATGTCTCCTTAGCATGGGGTATTGAATAAAACCATTTATATACAGATTGTGGGCTGAACAGGTTAAGCAGCTCTAGTTATCATTACTTGGGATAGGTTGTAGAAGATTGCAGAGCGAAATTAAAATAAGGGAAAGAAAAGAAGAAACGCTAAACCAAATTCACACAACAGTCATGAACACATTAGGAATTTTATTTACTTGAGGCTGCAGTCATTCGTCATCTAACTGCATGCAACAGCTACTCCCAAAAGAGCAAGATAATTCTGCAGTCATTGAAGCAAAAGAAGTAAAAAGCTATGTCTTCTTTGCTTTGTCTATGCTGAACAGAATAAAGAAAATAGAAAATTGTATTTAAGCATGTATTAACTCAAAAAAGTTCCTTCTTTTGCTCTCAGCCTCCTCAATATTATGTAACAATATAAAAATATATACTAAAATAATAAAAATATAAATTATATAACAATTATTTTTGTTGCTGTGACTCGGCTTCTCATTAAAGGGTAGCTATGTTCATTCTCCATGGTCCCAATGTATGTAGGAATGTAGACACACACTCTTAATTGCTCGCATCAAATATGGACTAGGGACTATAGGATCTGTAGTGTGCATACACCAGTCTGCATGATCGCAACTAACATGCTCATTCCATTCAAACAGAAGTGAGGGGGAAAAGGAGAGGTTCAGACAAAAACACAATAAGAAACAATTTTATGAAAAACCCACTACAGGGACATTAAGTAGTGGATGTGTATAAAATTATTTTTGGAGAGGGAATTAACCTCCACAGTTTTATAGGGAAACATTCACAGCTGAGGATGTCAATCACCAGCTGTGTGCCAGAAGAAAAGAGGCTCTCCCAGGATTCCTTACTATCGCCATTGACTGTCAAAAGTGACTGCAGACAGCAGAGAAGGGAGAGAATAGACAAATTATACTGCTTTGGATTGAGGCTAGTACACACTATAGAGATATGCTTTGTTCATTTCTCATTTCAGAGGTTTAAGGATTTAAAATATACTTGTCTTTATGTACAGATTGTAAATGTGTAAGTACTTGGAAGCAGCCATACTTGCTCATTAAATATGCAGGCTCTGTGTTCTGCTTAGTAGTGCTGAACAGCGGTGGTGCCTAATCCGCTTGTGCAAGTCAAAGGTTGTATTCAACATGTTATACTTACCAGCTCTGTGCAATGTTTTTGCACACAGCAGCCCCGATCCCCTTCTTTTTGGGTCTTCTTCTTTTGGCCAGAGGTCTTGGCTCCTCCCCCCAGCCAAGTGCCCCCAAACAGCAAGCTTCTTGCTATGGAGACACGCTTGCAAGCTTACTCTCGAGCCACACTCCTGTAAATGGACAGTGATCATTCACACACAGAGCCCTTCCCCTGGCTCTCCACTCACTGACTGTGAATGATGGGAGAAGGAGCGAATGGCTCCTGCTGTTGTGTGAGCCAGTGAGGAGTGGGAGACCCGGGAGAGCCGTGGCTCTCATGCACACCGCTGGAGTGAGATGTGGCTCACGCAAGTATAAAGCGGGAGCTGCAGCCAGAAGGTTTTTTGGGAGATGCAAAAAAATCTCTGGCAGTCCAACTGCATAGCATGTACCAAAACCAGAGACAATCAGCAACGGGTGAACTGACCCTTGAAATAGAAATTAAAGCAGATGTACACTGTATCTGAGCACTACAAATCAAAAAGCGCTATTTATTTTTTAATATTCAAACCAAAATCCCCCATCCATCCAAATCTCTGTGCTTTATTATGCTGAGAAATCACTTAAAAACACACCCCCTATCATTTCTGAATATGGCCATCTTGAGTAAGGGCAGATGATTCATGAAGCATTTACTTCCTGGAATCCTTCTGTGCTTAGTTCAAGCATGAAGGCAGGAGGGTATTCTTAGCTGAGTAAACCCCTCCTCCCCTCCTGAAGTCTCCTGGGATATAGGACATCATTTTCCTAGGCATGGAAACTAGGAAGTAGCAAAAAGAAAATATATAAAAAAAAAAAAAAAAAAAGTTTAAAACAAATAAAATATACTTTGCTATCGATTTACTAAGTCTAGAAACATAAGGATTAAAAATAGTAAATGTTGAGAAGTGAAGTTCCACTTTAAGGAATGAGGGAATGATGTGAACAGATCTGGAACTGTAAGTCTCAGAGTGCTTGTTGGTTTTAAATTAAACCAAATTCTCATCAGGCTGGAACCAACCTCTTGCCAAGTGTAGTATTGAAGTGCAAGACATCTATATGATCCATATATTTATAATGAGGAGTCTAAATAAACAAAGCAATATGTTTCAGCACGTACTGAGAGGAGACGTGACTGGAAATTAGCGGAGACCTTGAACAATCTCGGGAAGCAATCTACGGGGATTAAAGCACCCTGCAGCGTTCTATCAGTCAGATATCAGCAGCATGACAATGAGCTAGGAAACAGCAAAGGACTGTGATTGCAGCAAGCGGAATTGTAATCCTTCTCCTTACCAGAGCCTCCTGGCCTACGTGTTGCTTCGGAGGTGGAGGGCCATCCTCTCTGTCAATCACACCAGCATCTGTAAATGTGCAATTCAATTATTCATTTAGTTTGTTCTTCATAACCTCAAACAGATACAAAAAAAGAAAAAAAAAAAAAAAAAAAAGAAGAAGAGGATGCACGTACACATATACCCATCTATACCAGTGTGATATGCCATAAAATGAAAACAAATTTTCAGACTCAAAAATTATTTATATTATAGATACACACACAAGTAAGCACACACGCACAATTGCCAAAAGTATTAGGACGCCTGCCTTTACACACATATGAACTTTAATGGCATCCCAGTCTTAGTCTGTAGGGTTCAATTTTGATTTGGCCCACCCTTTGCAGCTATAACAGCTTTAACTCTTCTGGGAAGGCTGTCCACAGGGTTTAGGAGTGTGTCTATGGGAATGTTTGACCATTCTTCCAGAAGCACATTTGTGAGGTCAGGCATTGATGTTGGATGAGAAGGCCTGGGTCACAGTCTCCACTCTAATTCATCCCAAAAGTGTTCTATTGGGTTGAGGTCAGGACTCTATGCAGGCCCCAGGTTCCTCCACCTCAAAAAATCGCTCATCCATGTCTTTATAGACCTTGCTAGATGTTGTCAAGTAAGTCTTTCAATATTCCATGTACTGATGTGTAAAATTGACAAGTGAAGTACTGCCTGAACCAGAATCTACTTGGCTTCTTACAGGGTCAAGATTTCTGGTTCCTCCACATTGGTTGATTTAAGCCACAATCATGGAACAGCCTTGATTTGAATCTGAATGAGATGACCCCACAGTTACATTTTCCAGCACTGAAGCAATTATCAAATTGCTCATAGTTCAGAAGGTTGAGACGACCCTCTTCTGGTGACCAAATGTCCTGCATTAAGATATTCAGGACTCCTTCCCAGGCATTCGTCATGCAATCCTTCCATGCTCCCACACCAACTTTCTTGAGCCACCTGAACGTCCGTAGTGTTTGAACAGTCTATTGGACATTGGCTGGAGGGGTCTGTGCTGACTGTTCCAACAGCAAGCTTGTCCAATTATACCATAATGGGAGTGAACCAGAGCAAGCATTGGTGCAGCACGTTTGTGAATACCCAAAGTGCAGTGGACAGTCCAAAAGTAAGGAAACAATCTGGTAGTGTTGTGTGCCCACAGCAAAGGCAGGAAGTGTTGAAGCAATGACTGACCTTGCAGATTTCTTGCACCTGAAGATAGGCAATGACAAACATTAAGATCCAGTATGGACCAAATGTCCCATTTTGCTTTGAAAACACTGAATAGATTTTCAAAGAAACCCTGAAACCTTTCCTCTACACAGAGCCATGTCTATGACCCCTGACTAATGAGCCAAGCCAAGACAGCTTGAAAGTCTATTAGTCTGTGTGGAGAAGATAAAATATGAGATAACTTGAAACAGGGCCAAGTTAGAGATTGAAAGCTAGCTTATACAATGAGGAACTATTTGAACACCCTGCTTTTATTATTATTATTATTATTATACAGTACGCCAATAGAGGAACAGAGACAGTGACAGAACAATACCAATACAATTCAAGAAGCTTACACCAGGAGGAGATAGCTGTGGGGGGATGGAGTGCAGATTCCAGGATTGCACCCTGGAGTTGGAGGCGGGCATCCCACAACTAGAGAGAAGGAGGTCAGGAGAGTGTGCGTGCTCTGATATTAGGTCACATTGTGGACAGCTTTGTGCAAGTTCTCCCACATAGAAATCATGGAGAGAAATTCACATTGTAGGTGCATTCCCACTCTGAAAAAAAAAAAAAAAATTCAGGAAATCACATTGTATGATTTTTAAAGAATGTATTTGTCTTGCACTGCGGAACATAAGTATTTGAACACCTGAGAAAATCAGTGTTAATATTTGGTACAGAATCCTTTGTTTGCAATTACAGAGGTCAAATGTTTCCTGTAGTTCTTGACCAGGTTTGCACACACTGCAACAGGGATTTTGGCCCACTCCTCCGCACAGATCTCCTCTAGATCTGTCAGGTTTCAGGGCTGTCGCTGAACAACACGGAGTTTCAGCTCCTTTCAAAGATGTTCTATTAGGTTTAGGTCTGGAGACTGGCTAGGCTACTCCAGAACCTTGATATATGCTTCTTACAGAGCCACTCCTTGGTTATCCTGGCTGTGTGTGCTTCGGGTCGTTGTCATGTTGGAAAACCCACCCACGACCCATCTTCAATGCTCTGACTGAGGGAAAGGAGGTGGTTGCTCAAAATCTCATAATAAATGGCTCCATTCATCCTCTCCTTAATACAGTTCAGTCGTCCTGTCCCCTTCGCAGAAAAGTACCCCCAAAGCATGATGTTACCACCCCCATGCTTTACAGTAGGGATGGTGTTCTTGGGATGAAACTCATCCTTTTTCCTCCAAACACGAGTGAAGTTTAGACCAAAAAGTTCTACTATGGTCTCATCTGACCACATGACTTTCTCCAATGCCTCCTCTGGATCATCCAGATGGTCATTGGCAAACTTCAGATGGGACTGGACATGTGATGACTTGAGCAGGGGAACCTTCCCTGCAATGCATCATTTGAAACCATGACGGCGTAGTGTTCTACCGACAGTGACTTTTGAAACTGTGGTCCCAGCTCTCTTCATGCAAGTCATTGACCAGCTCCTCCCTTGTAGATCTGGGCTGATTCCTCACCTTTCTTATCATCAGTGATACCCCACGAGGTGAGATCTTGCATGGAGCCCTAGTCCGAGGGAGACTGACAGTCGTCTTTAGCCTCTTCCATTTTCTAACAATTGCTCCAACAGTTGATCTATTTTCACAAAGCTGCTTGGCAATTGCCCCGTAGCCCTTTCCAGCCTTGTGGAGGTCCACAATTTTGTCTCTAGTGTCTTTTGACAGCTCTCTGGTCTTGCCCATGGTAGTAGTTGGCATCTGACTGACTGTGGGGTGGACAAGTGTCTTTAAAGAGCTCAGACAGGTGCTACTAAGTTAAATTAATGAGTGGAGTAGAGGTGGACTTTTTAAAAGGCACAGTAACAGGTCTTTGAGAGACAGAATTAAAAAAAAAAAAATTCAGGAAATCAGAATTCTGGCTCTCAGAGTGGGAATGCACCTACAATGTGAATTTCAGACCCCTCCATGATTTCTAAGTGGGAGAACTTGAAAAATCGCAGGGTTTTCAAATACTTCTGTTCCTCACTGTAGGTCAACAAACATCCACCCATTTTGGAAAAGCCCTTCATACTCATCGATTGTGGTCTGGATCACAGCTCTTGTGGGGCCATCTAGAAAAGATCAGACAGACCTCACTCCTCCACTGGGAATACCTTCCAAATGGTCTTCAGGGACTGGTTTCCACTAGGTGAGTGCAGTACAGCCCTGGACCTATAAAGTGCCCTGCGGGTAGCTTCAGGCAGTACACATAAGTGACTTGAAGAACAACTTCAGCAAAGCTCAGTGCCTGGAGGTCACATTGCAGGCCAGCCCTGCAATTTTTGTCTAGGTGCAGCTTCCAAAGCAATGCCGAATATCAGCTGATACAGAGAAGCTGCAAAGTGAGTTTGTAACAAGAGTACACGCAGTGAAGGACGCAGCCTCCATTTTGTTAAATCTCCTTTTTGTCCCCTCATTCTCCCCCCCCCTGCTCTCTGTTCATACACATTGACGTATGGCCTGTGTGTTAAAAAGTGTCACAGGCCAGAGCACAGCAGGGAACCCCAGAGCTATAAAACATTTCTGAGCGAAATGTAGGGTTGTCTACCAGAGCTGTACAATTTAACACCTCGTAAAAAGATAACACAGCCTTCCCAGGAGTTCAAGGCATTCCAGAGAAGCAGGAAATCAGATAACCTTTTTAAAAATCCATTTTTCCCTATGTCTCATATCTTGTAATATGAGAGACTTACATAAAAACAAGTCATATAGTCAGATTGGCCAAGAGGAGGCGAACAGTTTGATAGGTTACTCTTCATGGTTGGAAAACATAGAAAAGCAGAAAAGTAGATATCGTGAACCATTCAGTGTAGAATTTCATATTTCATATCTAATCAATCCTCAGACGTGTCTGCATAATAAACTACCCACGGGTGGAGTGTCACTTATGCATATGGAAAGTTATGAGCCATAATAGGAGTTATGAGAGATTTTGGCTCTAGTTGAGGTATCCACCCAGACCATCCCTCACTAAATGAGGTATTGGTCCTTGGCTTTAGAGACACCCCCTGCTGGGGGACCACAAAATGGGCTGTCAGGCCTAAGAGAGCTAAGTTGAAGAATTCTCCCGTTGACCATCGAAACAGAGGGAGATCAAAGCACCCTTCTGCTCTGAAACTTGATCTGCTTAAATCCAAGGCTTAATGGCAAGTACTTTAACCCTTTAACCTCCTTCTGTTATCTCTTTGCTGTGCTGTTGTCTCTGTATATATATATATATATATATATATATATTTAGTTACATCGTTTTTCTGTAAATATTTTTATTGCACCTGTTTGACCTTTTAGTAATAAATCTTTCCTTCTGAAAGTGTTGAACTGTTTCTATAGCTCTTTATTGCAATTTACAAATTCCTGCCTCTAAAAAGAGCGCTACAGTGTTTGTTTAACCCTCTATATAACCGGCCTACGGTGACCGTGTTATACAGACGATTACCTCAACCATTATAGTATTACAGCGGATATTGTCGAGTTTCCTCTTTCTCTGTACAAAAAGGAGGTGGTGGCAGCGTGAAGGGTTAATTGCGTAATTAACCTGACCCAGTAACAATCGCTCAGGCTGCTGGTACATAGATTGTGGTCCAATTAGCTGGAAAATCTTTGTGCAGGGTGCAGCATTGTTATGCACATGACATCGCGGTTTCAGATTGGTCAGTCCTTCGGTCACGAGTTTGGTGAGAAGGGCTGGGGTTGGACGCCGCGTTGTCACATATTGGTGACAGTGATCGTCACATATTGGTGGCAGCGATCTTGCGTCCGTCACAGAGCTTACTATTTCTGAAGCTACTCTAGAAAAACTTTCTAGACAAAAAAAAATCCTGATAAAAGTGCA